ATATATATATAATTAATATATATATATATATATATAGTTATATATATATATATATATATATGATTAATATATATATATATATATATATATATATATATATATATATATATATATATATATGATTAATATATATATATATATATATATATATATATATATATATATATATATATATATATATATATATATATATGATTAATATATATATATATATATATATATATATATATATATATATATATATATATATTATATATATATATATATATGAAATATATATATATATATATATATGATATATATCATTAATATATATAAAAAATGTATAAACATAAAAATGTCTTTATATATATATATATATGATTAATGCAAAAATAAATATATATATATGATTAATACAACTTCCTCAGTATAGTGTTTTGTGCATTTAGTGTACTGTGTCAAATGTCAACAAAGATTTGTTAACCATTCGCATCATTTGTCGTATATTTTCATATTATGTTATGTTTTCTAACATTAATTCATGTCACTTTTTAAAATTATTATTTTCATTAGGTCACTTTTTTTTTGTTGTATAATAAAAATGTAAACAAAACCAAAAATACATTTTCCACTGAAATGGTCAACATTTAACAACAAATAACACAAATTCTGTTCATTATATGATCATAGTTCTTATGTGAATATTAACCAGCATTTAAAGAGTTTTCTAAAAGTATACCACTTGACCACATTGAGAGATATGAAAAATGTTAACATATAGTAGCAAATACCAAAATTCACCATTTTGAATTTGGTCCAATAAAGTAAAACCATTGTAAATCAAAAGTCCACTACAAAATTTTGTACATATCTTGCCATGAAGCAGTCACATTTTTGTCAAATTTAAAAAAATTAAAGATATGGTTTTTGAGAAAATTAAAGGTCAAAGGTGATGGACAAATTATCTTTGTTGGCCTTTAGACAAAAAAATAAATCATCTTTTAGATCCATCCACATATTTTAAAATAGTATATAATTTAGGTTTGTGGGTGAAAAAACAACTGAGATATTGATATTTAAACTTTGTGACTATTTCCCAAAATTCAACTTTTCCGTAAAGCTTAAAGGAACATATCTCTGAAATACTTTGACATAGTGAAGTGAAATGTGTATCATTCCATTTCTATCAAGAAGTCCTATAAGTGTACCAAATTTGAAAAAAATTTGGTTGGTGATGGACAGACCCTTGTTGATTTGACACGGAATGACTCATTACTTAAAAACAGTAAAACATTAATATGGCCAACTAACCTTTGAAAAGGATATTACAAATAAAAATTTGAATACTACAAACTTAATTAACACAGTTAATTGAGTTTTGTGCAAACAAATCACATGATAGTCTAGATTTGGTCTCTTTCTATTAAAACCTTAAGTTAGTTTACACAACCAGCCACTTTTAACATTTTATTTCAAATAATTTTCATAAACGACAACCCTGATGGCATCAGCTCTCAACTCTGTATTGACACTGAAGACACAATTATTTACTCCTGTCTTACTAGCAAGTCTGATTAGTCTGATAAGGCCATACTGGCAGCTGATCCTAAAAATGAGCGCAAATCTGCTGTTAATCAGGTCAAAGAATGGCCTAGTAATTCTAATGCCTCCAAAATAAAAGTGCTCTCTTTTAACTGTCTGAAAAAGCCCATTCTACCTGATGCTAACCTCCAGGAGGTTCTTGCTTTAAATATTGCTGCCACCTCTGGTCTGGTGTTCCTGGTATATATTTAGAGATTCTTGATAAAAATCATAAAGTATGCTTGTCTGAATAGCAAAGCCTATAATAATATTCATTCATTGCCAGTTTAATGCTGGCCTCCAGGAGGGTAACTTGATTGTGCCTTCTCAAGCTAATGTTTTCTGCTGACATGAAGGGGAAAGACTACATTGAACCAATTGGTAGGTCTGCTTACAGGAATGATTTTTGTCATAATTTATCTTGCATATTAATAAGTCTACCATTCATCCTTGCTTTAAATGTTGACACCACCTCTGGTTTGGTGCTCCTCCTATATATTTAGAGATTCTTGATAAAAATCAAAGTATGCTTGTCTGAATAGCAAATACCATAATAATATTCATTCATTGCCAATTTAATGCTGGCCTCCAGGAGGGTAACTTCATTGCACTTTCTCAGGCTAATGTTTTCCGCTGACATGAAGAAGACTATATTGAATCATTTGCTAGGTCCGCTTCCAGGAAAGCTTTCTTGATAGAATCTATCTGACATATTTATAAGTCTACCATTCGTCCATGCTTTGAATATTGCAGCCACCTCAGGTCTGGTGCTCCTGCTATATATTTAGAGATTCTTGATAAAAATTGAAAGCTTGTCTGAATAGGAAAGCCCATAATAATAATCATTCATTGCCAATTTATACTATCTTCTTAATTTCTGTTTTTTTTTTATTATACTCTCTCCTTAAAAGTGTTTCTTTTTTTCCTCATATTCTCGAATGCTCAGTAACTCCTTGCTTCTTATTGGCTTTATTGCACTGCTTGGGGTTAAATGGTTAAAAAAAATAAATAAACGAGGATAAAAACTAGATTGATTGTTTCCCCATAAGCAGTTAAAGACAATATTAAAAACCCATGACTTGTATTGTTTTTGACATAACTACCGAATACAATGTGGAGGGAGGGAGTGTTGGTAATAATGTATGAGAAACATTTGATAAAGAGGCTTATCAAAACATTTTAAAGCAAAAGCAAGTATTAACACGTTGACTACCAACCCAAATTCAGTACAGGGTCATGTGGGCCACTATATTTTTTTCTAAAGTTTAAAAAAATATATTTTATAAAAGAAAATTCAGTAATTTTGCTTGAATTTCTAGGATGAGGAGTTTTTATTTACATGTGGGCTATTGTTTCAATCTTTGTTGTTGTTATTACAATGTTTTTGTCAGTGAGTTTTCTGGCCTTCCTCAGGTGTATGCCAATATAGATAAACTGCAGGGAATTTTGAACTGAGCCTATTATTTAATCTACAGGAGGTAGATTATTCTCATTTTACTGGCATGTTTAGAGATATCTCCTCTAGTTCTTATTAAAGATGAGGACAATAGTCCACAAGTAAATAATATGTTAGGTATTAATAAAAGATTTTTTGTGCTAATATTTTTTTTAGAAAAAAGCTGCCAATGTTGTTTTCTTAACATTAGAAGCCATGTCTAATTGATATTTATTGAAATAATAAAGTTACATGGCTACATTTTGAGTAACAAAGACAGGCACAAGTTCAGTTTGTTCTCGGATAACAAAGGTAGGCACAAGTGCAGTTTGTTCTAGAGTACAAATGCAGACACAAGTGCAGTTTGTTCTAGAGTACAAATGCAGACACAGGTCCTTGTTAAAGTAACAAAAGGTAGGCTTCAGGTCCAGTTTGTTCTTGGGTAACAAAGGTAGACACAAGTGCAGTTTGTTCTAGGGTAACAAAAGGTAGGCACAGGTCCAGTTTGTCCTAGAGTAACAAAAGGTAGGCACAAGTGCAGTTTCTTCTAGAGTACAAAGGTAGGCACAAGTGCAGTTTCTTCTAGAGTACAAAGGTAGGCACAAGTGCAGTTTCTTCGAGAGTACAAAGGTAGGCACAAGTGCAGTTTCTTCTAGAGTACAAAGTAGGCACAAAGTTTCTTCTAGAGTACAAAAGGCAGGCACAAGTGCAGTTTCTTCTAGAGTACAAAGGTAGGCACAAGTGCAGTTTCTTCTAGAGTACAAAGGTAGGCACAAGTGCAGTTTCTTCTAGAGTACAAAGGTAGGCACAGGTTCAATTTGTACAATAGTCTTTGGGTATTTATTTAGAATGTGGAGAGAAAGGCTTGTTTTTCTGTCAGAGAAGCAATGGGAATATTCTGAGACTGACCATTTTGGTAAGCCACATATGATGAAAGAAGAAATTTAATTGTGACTATCATAATCAAAATCATATAAATTAACAAAAGAAATTACCAAAGTCTAGTGATAGTTGTATCACAAGATATCACTGGCAGGCCATGTGACCAAGTGCTAATCAGCTTACAGCTCCAAGGGAAAATATGATTAATTCTTTGACTTTTTATTCTAAGTAGAATGGGGAGGTGATCCCTTGGAGATAGATCTTTAGTCTTCAGGCTATTCAATTATGCGTCTTCACTGAAAAATGATTATGAGAAAGACAGTATACTATTTAACTATCAAAGCTGACTCAGCCTATATATGAATAATTATATTCTTAAAATGGGTTGTTTAGAAAAAATGATTGAGAAGACGTTTTGACAGGAAATTCATGCAGTAATTTACACCCTAGACATAGAGGTCACTTGTCACTGAATTTATGAAAAATAAAAGCAACATTGCAAATTTATATCTGCTTTTGTTTTTAACAACTGCATTAAGTATGATTTGGGGATGACCTTGCTGGTCACTCAGTGTGAACAACATCACCAAATTAAATGAACAACAAATTGAAAGTAAAAGGCAAACATTAATGAATGAACACATGCAATACATACTTATATTCACATACATATGCATAATGTCTTTAGATATATTCACTGCAGACTTCATGCTAATATATTTTCAGAAGTTTGATTTAAAAACAATATGAAAGGATTTGAATTTTCATTATTTAATATTATTACTTATTATCGAAATTATCCATTTTCCCAAATTTTTGCATCTTGTGTTTCTCAAAAATGAATCTGAAAGAAATGCAAATGTTTTGTTTTTTACAGCTTATCAAGGTTAATTAAAGCCAGAAAATATTTTTATATTGTAAGAATATTTTGGAGATGATAACGATTTACTTATACAAATCCTACTAATTAACCCATAGCTAGTGGGAGAAGAGATAGATTCATACTTTCTCCAAGGGTATTTTCACATAAATGAATATAATTAACATGACAGAAATTGGAACTCAGCTCTCCAATTTCCAATTCCAACTTGTTATTCATTAAACCACTTGCATATCCAAGCTTACATCACCTGGTATTTCCAAGTGGTCACCCATCTAGGTACTGACCAGGCTCAGTGTTGCTTAACTTCAGTGATTGTACAAGAACCAGTGTTTCAATGCTATAAGTCAAGGAATCAGATTAAACCTAGGCAGACACTATCAGCACAATCCAGAGATTGTCACAGAAAGCAAAAAGAGTAAAATACTCTGGCACTTTTAAGATCCAGACCAATCACCCCATTTGAGAAAATGAGATTTGATACTTAGAAACAAGGAAAAGAGGATCTGCTAGATCGAGGTACTGACCATGTTCAATGTTGCTTAACTTTGATGATCATACAAGAACCAGCATTTCAACATGATATGGCTGTAAGCACGCTGTTATAACCAGGAACTAGGATATGGAAGCACAGTTTCAGTCATTGTTCAGACATGGAAGTACCGTGTTGGCCATATTGTTATGCATGAATAAAAAGCAAGAGTATCACTTCTGCCAACAGAGAAGTAATCAGACTAAACTGTGTTGTCATCATTATTACAGACCCCCTTACCAAGTTGTGACACACACAAAGAAAACTTCCGGAAAATACCTGAGTTGCAGAACTTTCAACCTGGAGACCTTCCAATGCAACCACAGTAAACACACATGTCTTCCCAGTTCCTGCTTTGGCCTGGACAATCAAGTCTGCAAAGACAAAAAAAAATTTAGAATTAATTTTTTGCACATCTGAAATGACTAAAATTTAAAATTAATATATATTAACCAAGAGCTAATAGGTCCACAACCTCACTCCACAAGGTGTTGTTGCTGTGGTTAATGTAGCAATTTTTGGAGTTGCTATCCAGTTTTGAACTCAAATTTGTCTTTCTTCTAGACTGGCTACCAAAAACAGCTAGAGTCAATGTTCCCAACGTGGGGTACACGTCCCGGGGGGGGGGTTGATTTTTTAAGGGGGGCAATTCAAGAATGAGTTATTAGGTTGGTGCAAAAATAATGACATAATAATGTCGTTTTTGACGTATTTTTTAACGCCAAAAAACACTATTATTACGTCATTATTTTTGCACCAACCTAATATTAATAGTGAATTTTTTTCTAGTGACTGTGAGTGTACAAGTTAATACATATGGTGCATATACAGTATACATACATAAAAACATTTGTGTAATTATGTATGTACTATATATTATTTTTAACCATTTCTTAGTAACTTCATCCTCAGTACTACAACTGTCCTTTTGTTCTGTTGTGTAGAAAGAAAACTGTTGTCAGGACTGGAGAAAATCTCTCTTATATCCGGGTTTCTCTTATATCCGGGTTACACTATATTGCAATATTAATCCCCAGGATTAAACAGTTCTACTACTAATCTTGTGTTCCAGTGTTTTCCATTGGAATATTATTAACCTGAACTATGAGTTGATACAAGCATTATACTATGTTTTCCCTTTCAATGATGCCATAATCTTTGGAAGCTTGTTTAGGCAGAGTTAATGGCCTCTTAGGCTTTCTCCACATGAATTTTTGAATAATAAGAATTATATATGTCACAGGAGGGGGACATCAAGATTTTACAGATACTTAGGTGGGGCATGGCCAAAAATAAGGTTGGGAACCACTGAGCTAGAGAGTCCAGTCTACCCTGTTATTTAACTCATAGCTGGAGGGGAAAAGAGATGGATTCTTGCATTTCCAGGGTGATTTGTTAAAAAGCAAATGCAACACAGGGTTGAATCATTATCATTCCATTTGTAAGATGCAAGTTCCATCCAGAAAGCTATGAAACAGACTCCCAACAGCATGATTCCCTGATCAATACAATCTTAACCAGTTCAAGCCTCAGGTCAACTGTTATCCAATATAAAAACTATAGCTTATCTGCCTTTAGTAGATAACTCCTGCTAAGAAGAGTCTATTATAAATTGATAATGGGTATGACCCAAAATCAGGTGAAAAATAGGATTTGAATGCCAAACGAAGATACCAAGAGGAACACAGAGCAAAGAGACGTGTTTCTGCCAACTCCCAGAAGAAGCAATGCTGGCCACAAGCTAACCTGAATGATGCAAGAATAAAGCAGCTCAATAGAAGCAGAATATGAACACCATTCAGATAAGTGTTCCATCTGTCTCATCCCTGATGCTTTGACTTTTAACTGCTAGAAGAATACGTTTTTAGCAATCCTCTATTCTCTTTCTTATTATGTAATGTGTTTCTTGTATTTTACAATGTTCAGTTGTCTCACTTTGTTCATCAAGTCAGGGACTCAATTTGGAGAGTTGTTAAATTTCCCACACCATCCTACATATCCTCATAATGTGCCCTTCTTACCTCCTCTGCTTATGTTCATAAAACCTCAGTCAGACACCCAAGAGGATGCTGCCTTGATCGCTACAATCATAACCTCTGCAATTCTCACGTCAACCATTATCTATCCTACATATCTTCATAATATGCACTTATGTTCATACATCATTCAGACTCCCAAGAGGATGCTTCCCTGATCGCTACAATCTTAACCTCTTCAATTCTCACATCAACCATTATCTATCCTACATATCTTCATAACATGCACTTATGTTCATACAACATCATCATTCAGACTCCCAAGAGGATGCTTCCCTGATCACTACAATCTTAACTTCTTCAAATCTAGGATCAACCATTATCTTTCTTACATATCCTCACATAATATACACTTCTTACTGCCTCCTCTTATGTTCATGCAACATCAGTCATATTCCCAAGATGATGCTTCCCTGATCACTATAATCATCTCTTCAAGTCTCAGGTCAACTGTTATCTATCTTACATATCCTCATAATATACATTTCTTATCTCTTCCTCTTACATTCATACAACCTGTCACACTCCCAAGAGGATGCTTTCATGATTGCTACAATCTTAACCTCTTCAAGTCTAGGGTCAACTGTTATCTTTCCTGCATATCCTCTTAATATACACTTCTTACCTCCTCCTCCACTTACGTTCATACAACAACCTCATTCAGACTCCCGAGATGATGCTTCCCTGATCACTACAACCTTAACCTCTTCAAGTCTAGGATCAACTGTTATCTATCCTACATATCCTCATAATCTGCACTTCATATCTTTCCGTTTTACATCCATAAAACAACCTCTTTCAATAACTCTCTACCTTGAGTGGCTGTTTGGCCTTGTATTGGGTGAAGAAGAGTGGAAAAAAAAGACAAAAAAAGCCTCTACTGGAATTTGAACTTGACATGCCAATCTCATTTCTGTGCTGATAACAATTGTGTCACGCATATAGCTGCTGGAATTATTACAGTGACGTAAAAAGTTTGTTCTACTTTTTATTGTTAGTTAGCATTAAGAGCAATCACAAATGCCATTTGTCTATAGTTTGTTTGCTTTTTGTAATTAAGTGAACAAACATTTTTGATTACCCAATATTAAGACTGCAAATAAAACATTCATAATTCATACAAAAGATATAAACAATACGATCAGCACTTCTTAAACTTTTTTTCATTCATGATCCCATTTTTATATGACCCCAGGTATTAACCAACTACACTAAAAATACATCTGTTGTTACTGCACTAGTTGCAACAGTACCACATGCACATTTTATTACCTCAATGCTTGTGTGGCAAATCACATTAAATATTGAGCATTTGTGAAATAAAATAAACAGAAATTCAAGTGTTTTTCTGAATTTAATTTTTGAGACCCCAGCATTTCAGGTTACGATCCATAATTTAAGACGTGCTGACATAGATGATTAAAGCATTGATTCATGAATTTGATAACAATGTAATTATGAATTCAATCCCTGAACCAGGTAGTACAGAAACAGGTGAGCAATAACTGGACTCGTAATTTAACTCTACTGCTTCTTCAGATGTCTGTCAACCCAGGTAATCTTCGAATTGAACTGAATTTGGTGACATGGTAATTTTGAGTTCAATCCCTGCGTCAGGTATTACAGACTCATAGATTTACTGGAAACAAGCAAAGCAGTAACTGAATTTGCAATTGTGCTCTACAGCATTCTTCAGGTGTGTCAATCCAGGTAACCTTTAATCAAACTAAATTTGGTGGCATAGTAATTATGATTTCAATCCCTGAACCATGTGGGAATGGGACGTTCTGGCGTAGCCAATTCAACATAGGAATTTTTCAGCAGAGGGATGATTAGGCATCAGATTAATTCTTTGTCATTATACTCAAATTTGATCTCTCTCTCATTTAGTAGTCAAATTAGTACTTTATTGTTATATGCTTGAATAGTCCAATTTAAGAAAAAGTAGTTGGAGGTGTTTTTATATTTCCTTCAGTACAGCTTCATATTTTTCAGTCATCAAAGCCCTTTTATTCCAAAATGGAAGCAAATATTTTATCAAAACATGAAATAACAAAGTGATACACAATGGATGCTTTTTTTTTTTTTTTGACACAAAGAGCAAGAGGGATCCAGAATTAAAGTGGCGTGAACAGAAAGATTGATGTAAAGTGAGATTACATATGAAGGATGGAAAAGTGATTTTTATTCTTTAACAGGATCCTTAATTCCCGAAATGAATAAAAAGTCATTGAAAGTTGGGTGTTTTCAATACTTTTATCCTTTTTTGTGGGGGGTTGCGGTCAAAGACAGTGATATCAAAACAGTCTGACGCCTAAATGGTTGTACTGAATAGTCCAATTATTTTTCTTATGCCAAATCAGCCATCCCAAATGGGCTACACCAAAACGTACCAAGCCATGTAGTAAAGACTAACTCACTGAAAGCAGATGAGCAATAACTGAGCTTGCAATTACACCAACAGCTCTCTGATTAAAATTCCAAACCATTATCCATTACACCACCTGCACATCCAAGCTTACAACATCTGGTATTCCCAAGCGGACACCTATTGAGGTATTGATCAGGCTTGACGTTGTTTAACTTTGGTGATCATACAGGAATTGATGTTACGATGTGAAGTGGCTGTAAGCCAAAACTGAATTTGGTGGTATAGTAATTGCAAGTTCCATCCCTGGGCCAGGTAGTACAGACTCAGTGGAAACAGACAAACAATAACAGAAAAGTACTAAAAAAAAAAAAAAAACTGGGAGGAGATATCCATAGAATGAGAATAAACTATATCTATAATTTAAATAAAGGGATCTGTTCGAAATTCCCTGAAGAAAGCTGAAAGGCACAACTACCAAGATGGGGACAGGAGTCCAAATGTAAATAATAACTCCTCATCCTAGAAATTCAGACAGAAGGCCATCAGGTGATAAGAACAACAAAGATGAGGATATTAGTCTGAATGTAAATAATAACTCCTGATCCCAGAAATTTAGACTGAAGGCAATCAAGTAATGAGAACAACAAAGATGAGGATATTAGTCTGAATGTAAATAATGATAACTCCTCATCCCAGAAATTCAGACTGAAGGCAATCAGGTGATAAGAACAATGAAGATGAGGATATTAGTCTGAATGTAAATAATGATAACTCCTCATCCCAGAAATTCAGACTGAAGGCAATCAGGTGATAAGAACAATGAAGATGAGGATATTAGTCTGAATGTAAATAATGATAACTCCTGATCCCAGAAATTTAGACTGAAGGCAATCAGGTGATAAGAACAACAAAGATGAGGATATTAGTCTGAATGTAAATAATGATAACTCTTCATACCAGAAATTCA